GTCAGCTTCTATTACTTGAACACTCAGGAAAAACAGAATCTCATTATCAAGGTCACGTTTATATTGTACTGGTCCCGCTAACTCTGGATATTGGAATTATTAAATGAGTGTAGACATGTTTACTTCATTATCGAGAGAGCAACCGACTAAACATGACATCACGGGTAGCGACTAGTGGGATTCTACTAACTGCGTGTTTGTATATTTATGGGTAGTATACATAAACACGTTGGTAATATTTGGATATATCAAGAGTAATCGGTATGTGACACTTCAAGGAATCTAATCATGTATTCTGTCATAATACAGTTTGTAGAATTAATAGAAGCGATGTTCACACATGCCATCTTGAAAAATGTCTATGGTGAATGTATGCAACCTTGCATACATGTAGCGAACAAATCTAGATTTTATTTTTCAAACGATTTAAAAATGAATGTAATTTTACAATGTAAATGTTTTGACTGAACATGAAATCCCAGTTAAATATACACAGATCGTATATGTTCAATCCATTAAGTGTTTATGCCTGTAACTTCAACTTCACATCCACATTGTTTTAGATATGATTCGACATCTGTAGACAGAAATATAAAAAATAAAGATTTGTTTTATTTCAAACAGTTTCGCAGTGAGCGTGAATTCGTTTCAATCCTTTTTTTTTTGACTGAACATAAAATCCCAGTGAAGACACACAGATCGTAGTGATGCCTGTGCCTTCAAATCCACATTCAACACCTGTAGACTCTCAAATATATAACGAGATAAATGGTTTTAGGGTGATGGCGTGTTCAGCTTCCATGGTCGGCTGCACAAGCAGCCTTGACACAATTCTGTAAATTTGCCTAGTTCGCTGCATTGGGACAATAGCGGACAGTCAGATGGAACCGCCAGTTCTGTACTAAGGGCACGTAAAACATCAAAATATTTTCATAACATGATGACTCGAACTCAGCCCCAGTAATTGGATTCATCCACCGATCAACGTAATAAAAAATGTTATCTATTTAGACATCTCAAGAGTGGTGTGGGTTGGAATAATAGTCATTTCAAGCACCATATGTTCTCAGCTATCTTACACTCTCCAAATAGATCAAGTAGTCAATTTTCGTCGTCAAAAGCAATGTGGTCATGTTACGATGTTACATTTTGGTGGCGGCGTTTTAAGCTTGATTAAACAGCATCTGGAGTGATGTAAAGTAATGTGATTGACCGAGCAGTAGTCACCAAGGTCTGTATATTGACGCGATTAAGGTGGGCATTTGCCTGGAGGGTAACTAGTGACGACTTATCAAAAAAAGTTATGAGCTGAAGCCTGTGCAAGTCGTGTGAAACCCATTCTGTTGTAATGGACAAACAGTCTAGCTGAGGTGTGGTGATCGGCACACTGAGTGGTCGAAACATCGCAGTGTCAAATCTCTGCAAAATTTGCTGCGGCACGCTGTAGACGGGTCTACGTTTTTCTAATTCAACTATTGTACGGCGATTGTACGAATGTGACGAGCAAATATATAGATTCGATTTTATCAAGGTCATACGCGAAACGTCGTCGTCGCTTACTGTGTAGGACCAGAACATTGACCGCCCAGTGTGGAGTTTTGTATGGTAGTGTATCGGGTTTATTTGCACTTTTATTGTTATTCGCAACTATGTATTTGTAAATTATTGGTTACTTAGGTGTGGCCGGCCGGGTGATTGTTCAAGTTCTATTGATTAATTACAGTTGTAATGTGTGACGGATAATTAATGTGAACTTAGTCAACTAATATTATATAACTTACTCTGTTTTTCCCCAAAATATGTAAACCATACACTAATTATTGACTACATATGTATCACATTGTCGACGGTGGGGATGTATATCTATGTATTTTTACACATACATGAATGTGTTGGGAATTTAAAATTGGAATATATATGTGTACAAACACTAGATTCTAAAATTTTATTAAATAACTAGCGAAAGAATTTTAGTTAAATGCAGTACATTATTGACGCAAATACTTTAACACATGTGTTTTCTTTTTGTTTTAGTTCTGGTTTTATGATATCTGATGGTCAACTATGAACGCCAATGAAGCCTCATCATTCTCCTCATACAGAACACGCTTTGTGCACGCCTCTGCGAGTGACATAACTCAGAGGTTGGGTTTCCAAGATTCAGATTCATTGCTTGACGTGTGCTGTGGATCAGGGGAGTTAACAAAGCTGGTTACCGTAACTGCTAAGATAAAGTCTACTACAGGTAAGAGTTTACTATTATGGAGAGATAATTTATTCAGTATTGGATGATCTTTAATCTTTCAGACTATTATATGGGTATGGTGTTAGGAATAAACGTCTTCCAAAACTGGAATCGTCTACTTATGTCTGAAATATCGAGTTCAGAAATAAATATTACTGTACTGATTAATTGTAAATCAGTTGTTCTAATGACGTACACGATTTATATCTTCAGACAGATTTTGTAAAGTCTACGATTACCGTGTACTATGCTAGCTGCTTTGGAAATACATCTTCCCTTTAATCTATTTTGTTACTATGTATTTCAGCTGTGGATTGAACAATAAAATATCATATTCATACACTGATATTGTTACCATTACTGTCAACTGACATTACGTTGACCAAAAACGCCTCGTTCAGAAATAAAATATATAATTCTAGTGATTTTGTTGTTAGCCTGCAGTAGATGTAGTGTGATTGAAATGTTTGCATAAATTGCTAGTTTTGTTATTGAACCTGTCAAAGTCTGATCCCATCATCAATTACGATACTATACACTCTCAGAGTAAATATGTTTGACAATATATAAATAACTGCTTTGTTGTGAGCGATTACACTTTTCACTGACCAACAATTAAACATGTTCAAGCACCATTCGTGAGCTACTGTTTTATATTTCGATTTGATGGAGATCCGTATTGTCTAATTTAGTATTGATAAGTGTTTTTTTTCCGTATGTCAGTCAGTGATTCCGATTTTTTGTTCGTGACTGCATTTTGTATATCTCATGCACAAACATAGAAACTTTAACTAGTTGTTCATTCAAACTGCATCGCTGAATGCACTGTTATCCGTTGATAATTATATTGTTTTAACATTATTAACAACTCCGATACTGTACATGTACGTAACATTCAACAACAGGACTGACGGTGGCAATAGACACCTAATTGTTGTATTTGTTATTAGTTACTCCGTATCACATTTTGTCCTCTCACAAAGAGTTCAAGTTCGAATCATAGTAAATCCTGTCTTCCGATTGTATGGTGACACAGTATTTGATAATAGCAATATACTTTATTTAAATACCCATTTCAGCAATCGACATCAACCCGAATATGATAGATATCGCGAAATCTACAAACAACGCTGACAATATTACATATCTTGTGGGTGATGTCGGAGCCTCTGAGACATTCAAGTCAGAATGGAGAAACTCTTTCGACAAAGTGATGGCTTATTTTGCCTTGAACTGGATTCCTAACTGGTTTGATACCGTAAGAATTTTGTACGAATGCTTAAAACTAGGTGGGGAGGGTTTTTTAACTATGACAGTCGATGAACCAACATTGTTTATCAATGTATTACAAAAGGCTGTATATGAACTACCGAGGTGGCAACAATTTATAAAGGTTAGTTTATTTATAGTAAAAGTATATTTTGATGGCAATGGGTCATGCCTTCTCTCTAACGGTGCTGCTCTGTGCACGACATGGTGAAATAACAATGTAGTATTACAAAGTGTTGATGTTGTTGATTTCCATAATTATTTGAGACTCAAGATTTACAAAATAGTATTTCGAGTTCTATTGGGTTCATATTATTTAGGGTTGCATCAGGTTTATAATATTTAGGGTTGTATCAGATTTATATTATTCAGGGTTACACCACGTTTATATTATTAAAGGCTGCATCAGGTTTATATTATTTAGGGTTGCATCAGGTTTATATTCTTTAGGGTTGCATCAGATTTATATTATTTAGTATTGCATCAGGTTTATATTCTTTAGGGTTGCATCAGATTTATATTATTTAGTATTGCATCAGGTTTATATTATTTAGGGTTGCATCAGGTTTATATTCTTTAGGGTTGCATCAGATTTATATTATTCAGGGTTACACCAAGTTTATATTATTAAAGGCTGCATCAGGTTTATATTCTTTAGGGTTGCATCAGATTTATATTATTTAGTATTGCATCAGGTTTATATTATTTAGGGTTGTGTCAGGTTTATATTATTTAGGGTTGCATCAGGTTTATATTCTTTAGGGTTGCATCAGATTTATATTATTTAGTATTGCATCAGGTTTATATTATTTAGGGTTGCGTCAGGTTTATATTATTCAGGGTTACATCAGGTTTATATTATTTAGGGTTGCATCAGGTTTATATTCTTTAGGGTTGCATCAGATCTATATTATTTAGTATTGCATCATGTTTATATTATTTAGGGTTGCGTCAGGTTTATATTATTTAGGGTTGCACCAGGTTTATATCATTAAGGGTTGCATCAGGTTTATATTATCAACGGCTGCATAAGGTTTATATTATTTAAGGTTGCACCGGGTTTATATTAATTAGGGTTGCACCGGGTTCATATTATTTAGAATTGCATCAGGTTTATGTTATTTAGGGCTGCATCAGGTTTATATTAATTAGGGTTGCACCGGGTTTATATTATTTAGGGTTGCATCAGGTTTATATTATTTAGGGTTGCATCAGATTTATATTATTTAGTATTGCATCAGGTTTATATTATTTAGGGTTGCGTCAGGTTTATATTATTTAGGGTTGCATCAGGTTTATATCATTAAGGGTTGCATCAGGTTTATATTATCAACGGCTGCATAAGGTTTATATTATTTAAGGTTGCACCGGGTTTATATTATTTAGGGTTGCATTAAGTTTATATTATTAAGGGCTGCACCAGGTTTATATTAATTAGGGTTGCATCAGGTTTATGTTATTTAGGGCTGCATCAGGTTTATATTATTTAGGGTTGCACCGGGTTTATATTATTTAGGGCTACATCAGGTTTATACCAATTTTATTTTACCCGATAGGGATTCCAGTATAAGCACTACCCAATAAGAGGGAATAAGGACGATTTTGCTGCAATTCTCAGAAACGCTGGTTTTGTTGATGTAAAAGTGGAAGTAGATAAGACGTCCTTCTACACATTTGAAAATGCGTTGCAGACAAAGGGTAAGTGACACTTGTATTGGTATGACGCGATGGGTTTAAATGTTAATCATAACAGTTTTTTATTAACTATTTCGCGTGATAACACACCGCATCTAGAAGTAGTTACATAATAACGTACATGTGTGAGGGCAATACCACGATTTGTTGCCTAGTCAAGGTTTGGTCGTCTTGACTATAATATTGATGATGCCAGAGCCGAATGCATTCTTGAGATTGCCTGAATGACCATGTGTTTATTTCATCACATCGAACATACATCTACCATGTGCAATTACACATTTATACAATATTTTATATAATGTTTTAAGTGACACAGTATTCTAAGGCATACATTCATGTTTATTTGCTGAGATAAACTGCATAATACACAGTAAATATTAAATTGGCCCTGTTCGGCAGTATGAATTACTCAATTTATAGTATAAAATTATGGGAATGGTAGTAGGTAATTTTCAAATGCAAGTTATTTCATCACTAAGTAAAAGTGGCGTGGATGTGACTTCAATGACTTTTTCACGAACGTATTCACATTCAATATGTATTTAAAAGTCAATAAGTTCAGAGTATTCCTGCTAGGCGTCAACGTGACATGTCGAGAACCGGTGTAGAACTCTCACTGTAGAACGCACTGCAGCGATCTTGGTTGCGATGTTTGAATGGGAGCTTTACTGTACATATTTGAGTCATATAATCCTCAAAACGTATATTACTTAATATTCATTCTGGTAAGTTCGCCTTCTATTTCGGATTTCCTTAAAACCTTAAAAGCAACCCCAAAAACAAAAGCGTACAGGACAGCACCAGTGTAGCGAATGACGATATACGAATGCTCCTGCCGAATGAAAATTAACTTTTTCGGGTTGCTAAAACTGTATGTCCACCACTGTTGGAGTGAACATGTGTATTATTATACCGGCGCAAATCCAAATGGCTGTCATGGTCATGAGGTATAATGATTTATGTGCACATTAGTTGCACACTAGTTTCAGTGACTTCACCTTGCGATATTCCATTTAACATCCGATGAACGAGCAAAAAACAACGTACTGTCCAATTTCATTCAATTTCATGTGACTGAGATTCAATCAATCAAAGCATGCATAGATTTATTACATAATTTGTTGTTTATGTGTAATATACATCATTTTTGGTACAGTATTGTAATAATCGTGGTCCTTCGCTCTTATTTAAAATATAATCGTGGCCCTTCGCTCATATTTGCAACGTAAGCATGGTCCTTCGCTCATACTCATAATATACTTGTGGTCCATCGATCATACTTATCACGTAATCATGGTTCTTCGATCATATTTATCATGTAATCATGGTTCTTCACTCATATTTATAATATAATCGTGGTCCTTCGCTAATATTTACCACGCAATCATGGTCCTTCGCTCAAATTTACCACGTAATCATGGTCCTTCGCTAATATTCATAATATAATAGTGAGCCTTCGCTCATATTCGCCACGTAATCATGGTCCTTCGCTCATATTCACCACGTAATCATGGTCCTTCGCTCATATTTACGTAATCATGGTCCTTCGGTTTCATTTATAATATAATCATGGTTCTTCGATCATATTTACCAAGTAATCATGGTTTTTTAGATCATATTTACCACGCAGTCATGGTCCTTCGCTGATATTTACCACGGATTCATAGTCATTTTGTTTTATTTATAATATAATTGTGGTCCTTCGCTCATATTTGCCACGCAGTCATGGTCCTTCGCTGATATTTACCACGGATTCATAGTCATTTTGTTTTATTTATAATATAATTGTGGTCCTTCGCTCATATTTGCCACGCAATCGTGGTCTTTTGCTCATATTTGCCACGCAATCATGGTCCTTCGCTGATATTTACCACGGATTCATGGTTCTTCGGCTTTATTTATAATATAATCGTGGTATTTTGCTCATAATTACCACGCAATCATGGTCCTTCGCTGATATTTACCACGGATTCATAGTACTTCGCTCCTATTTATAATATAATCGTGGTCTTTTGCTCATATTTACCACGCAATCATGGTCCTTCACTGATATTTACCACGGATTCATGGTCCTTCGCTCATATTTACCACGTAATCGTGGTCCTCTGCTTTTATTTATAATATATTCTTGGTCCTTCGCTCATATTTTCCACATAATCATGGTCCCTCGCTCATATTCATAATATAATCGTGGAACTTCGCTCATATTTGCCACGTAATCATGGTCCTTGAGTTTTGTTTATAATATAATCATGGCCCTTCGATCATATTTACCACGTAATCATGGATCTTCGACCATATTAACCACGTAATCATGGTTCTTCGCTCATATTTATAATATAATCGTGGTCCTTCGCTCATATTTGCCACGTAATCATTGTCCTTCACTCATATTTACCACGCAATCATGGTCCTTCGTTCATATTTACCACGTAATCATGGTCCTTCGCTCATATTCATAATATAATCGTGGTCCTTCACTTATATTCGCCACGTAAACATGGTCTTTCACTCATATTCACCACGTAATCATGGTCCTTCGTTGATATTTACCACGGATTCATGGTCCTTTTGTTTTATTTATAATATAATCATGGTCTTTCGCTCTTATTTACCACATAATCATGGTCTTTCGCTCATATTTATCATGTAATCATGGTCCTTCGCTGATATTTACCAAGGATTCATTGTACTTCGCTCCTATTTATTATAATATAATCATGGTCTTTCGCTCATACTTACCACGCAATCATGGTCCTTCGCTGACATTTACCAAGGATTCATGGTACTTTTCTCCTATTTATAATATAATTGTGGTCTTTCGCTCATACTTACCACGCAATCATGGTCCTTCGCTGACATTTACCAAGGATTCATGGTACTTTTCTCCTATTTATAATATAATTGTGGTCGTTCGCTCATATTTGCCACGCAATCATGGTCATTCGATGATATTTACCACGGATTCATGGTACTTCGCTCCTATTTAATATATAATTGTGGTCTTTCGCTCATACTTACCACGCAATCATGGTCCTTCACTGACATTTACCAAGGATTCATGGTACTTTTCTCCTATTTATAATATAATTGTGGTCGTTCGCTCATATTTGCCACGCAATCATGGTCATTCGATGATATTTACCACGGATTCATGGTACTTCACTCCTATTTAATATATAATTGTGGTCTTTCGCTCATACTTACCATGCAATCATGGTCCTTCGCTGACATTTACCAAGGATTCATGGTACTTTTCTCCTATTTATAATATAATTGTGGTCGTTCACTCATATTTGCCACGCAATCATGGTCATTCAATGATATTTTCCACGGATTCATGGTACTTCGCTCCTATTTAATATATAATTGTGGTCTTTCGCTCATACTTACCACGCAATCATGGTCCTTCGCTGACATTTACCAAGGATTCATGGTACTTTTCTCCTATTTATAATATAATTGTGGTCGTTTGCTCATATTTGCCACGCAATCATGGTCCTTCGCTGATATTAACCATGGATTCATGGTACTTTGCTCCTATTTATAATATAATTGTGGTCTTTCGCTCATATTTACCATGGATTCATGGTACTTTGCTCCTATTTATTATAATATAATCGTGGTCTTTCGCTCATATTTACCACGCAATCATGGTTCTTCGCTGATATTTACCACGGATTCATGGTACTTTGCTCCTATTTATAATATAATTGTGGTCCTTCGCTCATATTTACCACGGATTGATGGTACTTCGCTCTTATTTATTATAATATAATCGTGGTCTTTCGCTCATATTTACCACGCAATCATGGTCCTTCGCTGATATTTACCACGGATTCATGGTACTTCCCTCATATTTATTACAATATAATTGTGGTCCTTCGCTCATATTTATCACGTAATCATGATTCTTCGCTCTTAGTTATATTATAATCGTGGTCCTTTGTTCATATTTGCAATGTATTCATGCTCCTCCGCTCTTATTTATCATATAATCATGGTCCTTTCCTCTTATTTATAATATAATCGTGGTCTTCCGCTCATATTTGCGTCACATGTCACTATAAACTCCCACCTTAGCCAGTTTTCGTTGCGCGTCGCATTGCCTGAGCATCGAACTGACAGGAGACCACTTGAGAGAGACCAGTAAAGTCTGTGAGGCAAATAAATTGAAAACGAATCCCACTTACGTTTAGTCGTCAATCGTATCTTCAAAAATACTATTTTAACCCTCCATCTTTTATAAATTTGTAGAATTATTAACTTCACAGAAAACATATATTTT